TTGCTATTGCTATTGCTATTGCTAATCTCACTGGCTCAAGGTTGACTCAGCCTTCCATCCTTCCGAGGTGGGTGAAATGAGGACCCAGACTGTGGAGGCGATGTGCTGACTCTGTAAACCGCTTAGAGAGGGCTGAAAGCCCTATGAAGCGGTATATAAGTCTAACTGCTATTGCTATTGCTATTGCTAATCTCACTGGCTCAGGGTTGACTCAGCCTTCTATCCTTCCGAGGTGGGTGAAATGAGGACCCAGACTGTAGAGGCGATGTGTGCTGACTCTGTAAACCGCTTAGAGAGGGCTGGAAGCCCTATGAAGTGGTATATAAATCTAACTGCTATTGCTATTGCTAAGTTAAAACTTTCACAAATGTAATTGATTCATAGTTTGTATACCTTCAGACTAATTTAATGTAAAAAAAAAAACATTTTTGCGGTATCATTTTATATAAAACAGCAAGTTGGACCCAATATTTATTTATTTACTAATTTATTTATTTATTTACTCACTCACTCATTCACTGTGTTGCCTGTCAACAATTCGCAGGAGGCTTACATTCCAGCAATAAAGTCACACACACACACACACACATCCAAAACACCAATTTTATTCATCGTGTGTTCTCTCGTTTTCTCTCTTTCTCTCTCTTCCCTGCTTGGGCAAGTCTCTTCAGTTTTCTTGGAAAGATTTTGGAAGTGATTTGCCATTGCCTGCTTCCTAGGGTTGAGAGAGAAACCAGTTGGCTTTATTTCCCACAAAGTTTCATTTCTCTGATGGCTTGGTAAATGCGAATAGTTTCATTAATCTTCTGCAATGGGACACTGAAGACTTTTCCAGAGTTAAGTACTCGCTATCTATACTGAGAAGCTTAGCTTCCAAGTAATTTATCTCTAATATCTCAATGAGGAAGTTCTTAGTCTATTGCCTTGGCCAAGACGTAATAGAGAGATAAATTATATTTGAATCAAATAGTCCCATATGTTAACAGGGATACATACCATATTGAGTTTTAAAAGTGATAATCAGCCATTTGAACTGAACCTGCAAATCAGCTGACAACTAGTGGCATTCCCACAGTAACATTATTCTGTGTTGACCAGTCAGAATACAAGATATATTCTCTGTATATTTTAAATTGTCTTCAAGCATCCTCGTATGAAATTAAAATTGCAGAGACAAAAATTGCACAGACAGAATAGGTACTTTTGTTTATATACTTCTTCTGATGTACTGGAGTATTTAATAAAGTGTATTACCAAGAATTCCAAGTTTATATGGAAAATGATGTTTCAGCTATGCGATGCCCACATGTGTCCTTTTTCATACTGTTCAGAACAGACAAACCTGAAGTCCATACAATCCAAGGTTTGTTTAAGTGTGTTTTGATGAATAAGTCAAAATGGCTGGGTTCACAGAATACATTTGGCAAGAAACAAAGCATATTGTAGCTTTGCATGCTCAGACAACACACAAAATGGCAGAACAAGAATATTTTAGAAAGCTATACACCAAAATATTTAGCAGGAGATTGGAGACAGCTATAAACAGAGTAACAGCCAAGGATTCAAGTTCTTAACTTCCTGCCAACCAGATGGTGAATTTAAAATTACATTTATGACTAATGTTAACACTGGACCAGTTTAGGATATTAATGGAAAACCTCAGACAGAAACTAGGACCACAATCATTTATAAGCCAACCTCTTTGCAATCTTCTGGATGTGAATAATAAACCTCAGAAGCTTGTGAGCTAGCCAAAAGGTAACAAGACTTGTCACATATGCTGACATGGTTAAGTATAAATCCTATAATATCCGATGACAAAACCAAACTACACTTTTTCCATTCAGTTACACCAATTTATTTCTCCACCTGGAAAGCAGTTGAAGTGGACACCTGGGAAGTAGCCACAAAGTTAGCCAGGTAGTCTGGTCTATGTCTATCTTGGAAGCTACTGGAATCATTCTCACACTTCAAATCATGCTATTCACTTAAATATTGCTTTTTTAAACAGCTGAATCCATTTTAGGAATTATGTACCCTTTTACTTGTATATGGCATACTGGTAATCCTCAGAGATACTTACCTTCTCTACCGGTTTGCAAATGTGAGCGCATGTGCCACATCTGCGCATGCGCACCGCCTTCTCACACATTATATTGGGGCGGGTGGGCGGAGCCTCCTGCAGCCGCCACTACACATTCGCCTGAACCGGAGAGAACCAGCTGAATGCCACCTCTGCTCAGAGACCACAATTGGGACCAACAACTAAGTCATTAAGTAAAGCACTTGGTATGTGACACCGCAAATATGCTTGTGATCTTATTTCAGCTTTACAAACCTGCAAAGATTGTAAATGGATGGATTGACTGTTAAGTTATTTTTTTTAAAAAAATCAGGGAGCGAGTGTCTCAAGATAGTTAGAAAGCACCTAATAACGGCAGCAAGACTGTTGGTGGCGCAATACTGGAAGAAGGAAGACTTGCCTACAATTCAAGAATGGACATTGAAAGTTACAAACTTAGACGAGATGGCTAAAATATTGGCATATTTTAAAGATCATTCAAATGAAAGATATAAACGAGACTGGAAAAAATGGATTGACTATATACAAAAT